TAAACGTAAACGGCCACTTAGCTTTCTGTGCTGCCTCTTTGTCAGGCCTCGGGGGTACAAATGAAAAGAAATATTCAATGGATGGTGTGAGAAATGATTTTTTTTTTTTTAAAGCCGCCAAGACAGGATTTTGTTGGTTTGTTTTTTGCAACATTTGCACCCAGGCCTTTTTCTCAAACCCAGGAACCGCATCAAACGGCGGATGTTTGGCCATACTGGCCTCTTCGTAAAGATAAATAAAGAAAAAAAAATATGATTTTTAAAAACGTGCTCGCTTGATGAACTTTTATGAAGGTTTTTTTTGTTTTTTTTTTTGCCCTCCAATGCGCCCGTGACAAAGGCATTGTTTTCCTCTTCTTCCTCTCAACGCTTTCTCACAGATTGTCCTTTTGTTGTAAAATAGAGAAGGAAAAAAAAAAAAAAAAAGCGGGAAGTTACAATTTAATGATCATTTAATTTAAGTTAACTTAAGGATTTTGCGTTGTTATTTTGGATTGTATATTTGTTCTTGTTTGTCGGGATTATTTAAATTGCTTTCTTTTCATGGATGATATTTGCAAAGGCACTTCAAGTCAATGGGAACGAAAAAAAAAAAAAAAAAGGAAAAAAAAAAAGTTATTTAAGAGGGATTGTGCTGTACATTGTATTCTTCTGCTCTGTGTCAACGACGGAATTAGTAGCCAAGACTATTTTTCCAAAAAATAAAAAGATCCTCAACGTCCTTGCTGGTGTGGCCTCCATCTGTTGCGTGCGCGCCCGCGCCGGCGCAACCCCACCGCGGCCATTTGAATGGATGCGCTGTTGGCCGCCACCCCGACTTGAAAGGGTCTCCCTGGAGACAGAAAAGGGGGCATTTTGGAGGGGGGGGTGTGGCTGTCTTTTCATAAAAGACAACGTCCTTCACGCCACTTCATTGAACATGAACAATGGCCCGGCCTCTCAAGTCGGGCAAAACAACTAAAAAGAAAGTAAAAGCTCAAGAGGAAAAAAAAAAAAAAGGATCATTTTTCGTCCGTTTTTGGCTCAGAAGACGCTCGCATGGTTTCAAGTGCCCTCGAAATAAAATCGTTTGGATTTCTTTTACCTTCTTAGCACACTTTTGGGAAGTGCTTCACATCTGTCGGAGCATGGCGTTGAAACCAAGTTAGCAGAAGGGGGGGGGGGAGGAGGGGAGGGGGGCGATGGTCCAGAGCACCTCACAAATCTCACATGATTAAAAATAATCAAATAAGGAGGGAATTTTTTTGGCAGTTTTGCAAAGCGCCCTGAAGACGTCCGCAAATCATTTCGCGCGCGCGCACACACACACACACACTCACAATGGACGAGCACACACAATGGCACCACTCACAAAAGCCCCCCTAGCCCGACCCTCGGCATGCCGTGGAGAGGAAGAAAAAAAAAAAAAAAAGCAACAGATGTTGTCCGCCGGCAGATGGACTGAGACAAGAAAATAACAATAATTCAAAGAAGGTGTGACGCTCCGTGCACTTGAATGAGGCTCTTGTTTTTTCTTGAGCAATGTTCGGATGGAGTCGAAATGGCGGCCGCCGTGCAACATGGAGATGGCAAGAGCTGGTCAGAAGAAGCGCGACCGTCGGTTGAGAGCCTGAGATGTCGTCGGGCGTCAAGAGTTGAAGGCGAGCGATTTGAAGGGGTGGTGGACTGAAACACGCGCAGACGTCGGAAACGGCGCCGATGCAACTCAATCCTATTCGGGGGGGGGGAAAACTCAGATGTCACCCGAAGCAGCGGACCTTCATTCACGGTGCACCCTGTGTCTGGTCATTGCGGTAATAGGTCGACCCCCAAGATGGCTCCTCGCCGGAGACATACTTACAATGTTATCACTTGCTGTTAAAAAGCGACAAAAACAATATTTTTCAGGGGAATATATATATATTTTTTTGCATACCGTATTTTCCGCACTAAAAGGCGCACTGGATTATGAGGCGCACCTTCAATGAATGGCCTATTTTGTAATTTTTTTTCAGATATTGGACGCACTGGATTATAAGGCGCAATCTACAATGTATCCACTAGATGGAGCTACACTCCTTCCATTCAACTCAAGAGGCGTTCATGACCGCCTCGGAAAAACGTAAACTAGCGATTCCTTCAATGAAACGACGAACATTGAAAATAATGCATCAAAACAGAAAATCACAAAATACAGTCTGTAGCCCACCTACGGAATTTATTTGGGCATTTCTTCGTTTTGTGAATACACAACAAAGGAATAAATAACAATGACTTCTGAGACAGTCCAGTCTCCTACGATTTACTGACATCTGATCGTTCCGTTGGAGCTACGCTCAAGAAAATGCCAAGGGGCATTTCAATTTTCGTCGTTTCCTTGAAGTAATGGTTAATTTACGTTTTTTTTTCGGATGCGGTCACGAATGCCTCTCGAGTTGAACGGAAGGAGTGTAGCTCCATCTAGTGGATACATTGTAGATTGCGCCTTATAATTCAGTGCGTCCAATATCTGAAAAAAAAAAATTACAAAATAGGCCATTCATTGAAGGTGCGCCTCATAATCCAGTGCGCCTTTTAGTGCGGAAAATACGGTATGCAAAAAAATATATATATATATTCCCCCCAAAAATATTGTTTTCGTCGCTTTTTGGTGGGTATGTTTTTTTTTTTTCCTCCTCTGATGGAAAGCGAGTTGGCAAAACGTTTTTTTTTTTTTTCTTGGTGTTGCAGCAATCCGTCGTGTTGGGAGCAAGCACCTCCTTTTTGTTCAAGTCGCAGCCAAACGGCAAATAAACCAGGAGGGAAAAAGTCAAGTCATAGAAGATGTTTTAATTGGAGAAAGAAATCCTTGAAATCACTCCCGTCCGTTTTCAAATTCAATCAAAGTCATCGACTACAACATCTACAAGTTGTCAGAAAAAAAAGGTTAAAATCATGCCTCTTTGCCTTTTTGTCGCACAGAAAAGATCAGCTTGCTTGTTTTTTTTTTTGTTTTTTTTTGTTTCGAATAGCGCCACTGCTCGCCAGAAAGGAATTTCTTGTAGAAAACATCCCAGAAGAGGAAGAAGAAGAAGAAGAAGAACAGAAAAGGCATCACACAGTACGTCACAAAGAGCCAACATGTTACAGGACTGTACACACGGGTCCTTGAATGCACCACAACCACATCCGCCGCTGAGGAGAAATCAAATGCAAAGAAAACAAAAAAAAAAAAAAAAAGAAAACATCCCAGAAGAGGAAGAAGAAGAAGAAGAAGAACAGAAAAGGCATCACACAGTACGTCACAAAGAGCCAACATGTTACAGGACTGTACACACGGGTCCTTGAATGCACCACAACCACATCCGCCGCTGAGGAGAAATCAAATGCAAAGAAAACAAAAAAAAAAGAAACGCCAAACACTGCGAAGTCGACTGAGCGAAGCGCCAGCCGCGCGTGTTCTCGGCAGCTGGTAAAAAAATGAGGTAAATATGTCCAGAGAGAGAACACAAAATAACAACAACAATGACAACAATAATGACAACAACAACAACCCCCCCTGCCCCTTCTGACAAAAAAAAAAAAAAAGCACCAGAGGTTTGGCGTGGACATTTTAGCTTATTATGCGACAGCACGTGCGCACTCCTCATCTCGGCCACGTGACACCAAAGGGGACATTTCATGTCAATTTTTGCAAGGGAGGGCCTCCAACAAGGTCTCGGCGTACGAAATTCCTTTTGGATTCGCATTTGGCGAGGAGGTATGTCAGAAAGGAGGGGGGAGGGGGGTCAAAGGGGAAAAAAAAAACATAAAAAAAAAACAAAAAGAGGCCAAATGCTTGGGGGGGACGACAATATCGAACAGGATGTGCAAACTTAAGTGTGCATAGAGATCAAATTGCAATAAATATTTATGTGATAACTTCACATTATCACCATTTTTTTTTTTTGACTTGGTCAAAAACTTGGAGGGGCGATTGTACAATTTCATGATTCATTTTTAGTTTGACTAAAAAAAAAAACAAAACAAAAAAAAAAAAAACAAAGAAAAAATAAAAAAATAAAAACTGTGTGCCACGCGAAAGGCAATAAAGATTGAAAAGCCCCCGAAACACAACCAAACATTCACTATGATTTTTTTTTTTTAGAATATATATGTATATATGTATATAAAATCCTGATAGAAATCATTGATTTGTCAAAAGTTTTCCCACTGACTTTCACTTCCTCCCAATGGCTCTTTCACGTTAAAAGCAAATTTTTTTTTTTCAAACTTCCGCATCACAGGAGCAACAAAGAACAAAGTGAACGCTTTGACCGCGTTTCTTTTTTTCCTTTTTACACTGAAGTAGGAAACATTTAAAATGTAAACGGATCCATCTTTCTAAGCTTGAACGGTTGTAGCTTCAAATATGACGCCCCAAAACAATAAAAAAAAAAATTAAAAAAAAAAAAAATTAAAAACGCCTCTCTTTGGACCGCCGAGGTAATTGTCGGTGTGTGTATGTATGTGGAATATAAGCATGAAATGTTTCCCAAACATTTCCGATTTGGAGTCCATCCTATTTCGAGGTATTTGATCAAGGGGGTGAGAGGTGGGGGGGGTGCGGCCGCTAGACCCCCGTAGGAACTTTGCCCAAAGCGTGTTGACGGATGAGAGTGAATTGGATTTGACGCCCCGCGACTTTCCGTTTTCATTCGCAGTCAACTCATGCGAGTCTACCAAAGAATCCGAAATGTCCTTTTGCTTCATGGGGGGGGCGGGGAAGGGTTCAAGCAAAATACGCCACGGTTTACTCACCGAACCCCGACCCGCTCAAGTCGACCCACATTCGTCGCGATCGTGCAGGGGGCACGATCACGACCCCAGAGGGTCGCCGTCCGACACCGGCCCGGGAAACGGTGCCGGACGGCGTTCCCGCAGAGGCTATTTTGGATTCGATTTATTTCTTTTTTTCTTCAAGTGTCGGTTAATACTGTGAGGTTGTCGGCCGCGCGGGCTCAGTAGAGCGAGGATGAGGAAATAACGGTTGTGTCGAGGTGTGCGTCGGGTTCCAAAAGAGCCTCCGCGGGAAGTTTTCCCGACCGTTAGGCGTCACAGAGGCGCCAGTCGTCCTCGGAAGCGAGTCAAGTCCCAACTTGCGGCCCCACTGAACTGACTGGAGTCCGCTCGTCCAATCGGGAGCCCGCTGTGCACCCCCAATATGGCCGCATGGGCAACAGAAAGCTCACCGTGGCCGCCAACATGAAATTTGGGGGGGGGCGGAGACCCTGTCAGACGACGCCCTCATTTTCGCTCTTGGCTGAACGGGGGGGGCGGGGGCGCGGCGGTCGCTCATCGGCAAAGAAGAAAAAAAAAAAAAAGCTGGTACAGTATTGGAACGGTCGAAGAAAAACGTCATTGCGCCGTCAGCGATGGATCCACTCTTTGGCGGCGCGTCTTCGAGATTTGTTTCGAATGTCGTAATACGCACGGCGGCAAAGTGTGTCCGAGTCACGTTTCGTGATTAGCGAGTCAGAGTTGAGTCAAAATCGAGCGTGACTC